ATAAAACGAATTAAATAGTGAAATAGTAATATCATAATCATAAGCCAGATATAGATATTTTGTAACGAAAATAGAAATCATATATCATATTTTTATTTTTAATAACAAAGCCATACTTTGAAAAAAACAGAGAAAATATCAATGTTCATAGAGAATACATTAGAGGATCCAATTATTTTTTAGATGAACTTAGCAGTTATCAGGAAAGGAAATATAAATCTTTTGTAAATTGATCAGATTTAAAAAATGAGACCCCTATTAAAAAGATTCGATAGCTAAGTGATTTAATCAAACATGTAGAAATTGTTGCTATAGGAACATTTAGAATTTGAATATACCATAGAGGTTATTCAAGAACTTTTACAAAAGAATTAACTAAGATTTGGATATAACAAGATTGATTTCATTATTTAGGTTATCAGTAGCTTTTTAGTCATTTTGTTATCGAGAGAAATTTTGGTAATTTGGTTTAATAAGGTTAAAATGATAATTTATAATATTCAGGGTTTCTAATGATTTATCATTCTTTTAAGTCTCATCGAACAAATCTAACTTCAATAACACAATTTTTACCATTCAGACATAAACATTTCATGAAAATTCATTTTTTACTATTGCCTACGTGCAAAATATCCGATCCAATCGATTTGATCCGTTGATCTGATCCAAAAATTTAGATATATGATCCGTTTTTTCAATTTCAGTTAGTTCAGATTGGATATCTGAAAAAAATTCAAATACTCGAATTGGATACGTATTGGCTAAAATTGATTATTCAAACCCGATAAAAAAATTGGGCACTAAGGAATGTTTAACTAGATAACCCAATAATCCAGCCCATCCAGCGCTCCCAACATGTTAAAATTTTAATCCAACTTTTAAATGATAATCTTTTAAAATTCTCGCCCTGGTAGTAGCCTTCCTCCATTGTCCAATGGTTCACACCCAAAGTAGAATGTTGGAAACTACGTTTTGAAAGCAATTCTCTTATGTTTTTTTTATTACACCCCATTTAATGAAATATTGCATGAAAAAAGGAGGGAAAATACTTTAATATTATGAAACAAATTTAGCATCTTCAAAGTATTAAAATTTAAAAATATATCTATGAAACTATTTTTCATATATCAGGAAAGAAATTAATGGTATTTCTCACTTAAAAAATTGGAAATTGTATTAATGGTATTTCTCACTTAAAAAATTGGAAATTGTATTATCAATATGCATTAAAATATTAAATTTAAAATTATTTTTTAAATTAAAGTTTATATTCGAATCGGATATCCGAATATCCGATCCAAAAATTCGGATATCTGATTTTTTTGGATTGAATACGGATCACAATTTTAGTGATCCGAAATTTTCGGATCGAATAATATTTATATCCAAATATACACACCCCTACCGCGCTACATTATATAATGCAGATCCATATTGTAATAGTAACAGGGATGACCAGCATACCTAAGTTGTTCTCTAAAACCTTTATGAGAGTTACAACATTTAAAACTTCACTGGTACTTTCAAAACTTATCTACAAAAGTCTCCTTAATCTAGTTCATGAGGGTATTTATATCATTTTAGTATTTTAGGTTATTTTAGTCATTTCGAAGCTAGAGGGTATTTTGGTTATTTTTTTGATCTAATCATATGTATTGTTTCCAGTAATTTTAGTCTTCGAGTGTTTGTTCCATAAATTAGGTATTTTAAATCTTTTACCCACTCGAAGGTTATAAATTGACTACTACAATTTTTGTAAATAGGTTAGAGATTTAACAGGGAAATTAGTAAGTTTATCGGGTCGATACGAGTTCTTAGATCAATTTCAATATTAAGGTAATTCATGATATTTCTACATCTCAAGGAAATTTGGTAATTTCTTATCCAATCATTTCCAACATTAAAATTTTTAACGAAAGTAATCATATTTTAAGGATCCTAAGGTTAATTGCTTTACGGGTTAATCACATAACTGAAAATTATTTCTTATCAGTCTTCTAATTTCTTACACGAGTCATCCAAGTCTTATTCAGTTTACTAACTTTTTACCTTATTCAGCTCAAGTTTTGAAATAATTAACTATACACAGCTGGTCAATCGTAATCATTCATGCACCAGACAATACCAATATGTTTCATAAAGCATGGAAAAAGTAGTAATGTATTACCTCAATTTTTGAACTACATTGATCTACCATTCGAACTTCATTTAATCTCTCTCAAACTTGAATTCAACGTCCTATAACATCTTAGATACATGGCAAAATGAATTACATCATAAACGAAATTTAAACATGAATATCAGATCGAATTGGAAGATAAAAAGCTAAAACACAACTTATCATGCTTGAATTTGGTAAAACAGACCCTAAAAACAAATCATCAAAAAACAATAGGATATGAGGTCTCAAAAAAGTCAATGATAGTCAACAACGATCAACAGTTAACGATGGCTCGACTTGGTTTGCGACTCCGCTTGGGCGGTCAGCCCAGCTTGTTTAGCGACTTGTCTTGGTTCATGGCTCAGCTCAAGTGATCAACTCGACTTGATTTGTTGCTTGGCTCAGGCAATCTACTCACTTGATTCGTGGCTTGGCTCAGGCAGTTAGCTCGGTCCAGATTAGTTTAGACGAATTCAGACCGGTCCAAACCGATTTTCCAAGATCCTTGGCTGAGAACAATGCCCACGCATAGAGGGCGGTGCGTGTGGCGTCCCTAGTAGTTAGGGGACGACCAAACTTTCCAAATTGCATCGTTGGAGAATATAGTCACTTGCCATCGTTCTTTCGCGACGGAGATCGATCGAAACACCTCCATCAAATGGTGAAACTTTTTATTGATCACCATTCTTGACGCCGATTGCAATGGCGAAGTTATAGACATTGGTCAATGAGCAACAACGAGCTAAACTCCATGGTGTCAACAGTGTCTAACACGAACGATTCATTGACGGTGAGTCGTCCAAAAATAGCAATGAACATTTATTTTTCGGTGAACCTTCGGCGACTTCAACAGCCAACAACCATGCTACACGACAAGGGAAAGGTTGGGTTTTGGTCACTGGACAATGGTGATCATAGTGGTGGAGGCGGTACACACCATGACTGGGCGAACGATGATTAGAGCTTCAACGGTAAGATGAGAATGAGAGGAGTTTTAGAATTCTCTGAACAAATTAAACTAGTTAATGCCTAAATGTTGGGGGTTCAATCCTTATAATATTATTACTTATTTTATTAACAAACAACAACAGCAATTTAGCCTATTTGGCCTATTTGGTAAAGGTTCAACTAAACAACCCTTAATTTACCAATTTAAACCTTTCTATACGCATAAACTGTAGTTTTTGCTTAAGTATTAAATTTCAGAAAATAAAAGGGAAAATGACTCAAAAGGCCATTAATCTCTTTTAAGTTTCAATTTTAGCTCCAAACTTTTATTTAAAGTTCAATTTAATCCTTAATAAGTTTCTTAAATTCACCGAATATGATCCGAATTCCTAGAAAAGGATATTTGATCTTTAATTGCACCAAGAAAAAATTTAGTCCCTAAATCGGGATGTGACATTGAAAGAAGATAAATGGAGTATCGGAGTAGAGATGTACGAAGAAGAAGTAGAGAGAAGATGAAGAACAATAATGTTGGGAAGAAAACCTATTAAAATGAATAAATTAAAATATAGTCCCTAAACTAATTTGAATTATAAAAGACCCACAATTAATTTTTGTCCAAAGTGTATAGGTTAAAATAAAAATTAAATTATTTTACTAACGGGTCACGTCATCGAACTAATGACATTCAACGTCCAAGTGACCAAAACTTAATAAAATGATAACATAAGAGAGTAGAACTTAATAAAACGATAACGTAAGTAACCAAAAACTTATATTTTTTTAAACTTGGTGAGTAACAGTGTACAAATATGAAAGGAAAATGACCAAAACTTAATCCATGTAATATCTACGTGTAAATGATATAATTTGAATTTTGTATATTTGTTGTGCCACGTTAACAAAGCGTTAAAGGTTTAACACCGGTTAACCTTCAGTAATCACATCTTAATTAAAACGAAACGAAAGTGACAAAATATTATATTTTTTTTTGAATTAAGTGAGAAAAAATATATGAAACTCAAACAAAAATGACTATTTATATAATTTACCCTTATAAAATTGCTTGATAAATGATTATAAGTGAAATGGAAAAATATATTATAGATGTTTATTAATTTTATATTTTAATTATAAGAATGATTTTTATTTTTATTTAAAGATTATATTAAAATATGAAACAAATTATCTTTATAATAATATTATGATATATATTTTTTTATTTTATAAATGGGGTGGTACGGGGTTAAATTGTGATGTAGGGGTGAGTGTTCGATCGAGTCGAATCGAGTCAAAAGAATTTTAGTTATTCGAGTTGACAAGTCCTATTTTATAACTTGGAGTTGACTTCAAATTTTTTCGAGTTGAGTTTATAAAATTCGAGTCGAGTTAAATTTTCAAGTTTCCATTTAAATTTAATTATAAATGTTGACAATATTATGACATTATTTGATTCCAATTTAAATGGTATTTTATAACCATATACAATACATATGTATTTCTTATATGTGATTTACATATATCATACAAAGTCAATGGATTCGAGTCAAAATTTAAAATTAATCTACTAATTACTAAAAAAATTTGAGTTATTCGAGTTGTATTTTACAACTCGATTTGAACTTGAAATTTTTTCGATTTGAGTTTATGAAATTACAACTTGAAATTAGTTCGAGTCGAGTTTTTTCAAGTCGAGTCGAGTAGAAAAAATCGATTTTTTGAGTCGAGTCGAGTTATGCTCACCACTACTCTGATGCCAGCTTTAGTAATGGATTTTATAATAAAAAATGGAGAAAATAGAGACAGAGATTAACGGGGGTTATCGATAATTAAAGTAAAATTCGAGGGAAGAAATTAAACAATTTAAGAAGTATCGGGATGCTTTCAAAATTTTTAAAAAACTGAGGGTTTGCAAAATTTAGTAAAAGCTCTCGCTTCTCACGCAAATTCCATGGCAGAAAAATCAGATACGTGGCGCTAGGGTTTATATACTTCATCCCCAGTGTAGAGTTTCCGTAGTTTTAACCGTCGGCTGTTAGATAAGGGAAACAGAGCGAGAGAGAAATGGGGTCTAGAGATAGGGACCAAACGACATCGCATCACCAGCCACTCATTAGCAGCCTCGTTGTGGGGCCTTCGGCAAGCGACGGAGCTGATGGCGGTGCCGACGGAGGACGAGGCCGTGGGGGTGGTGGTAGTGATTATGAGCCTGGAGAGGTCCGGCGTGAGCCGCATCCGTATTCTCGCACTGATCGATGCAAAGATGAACCTGGTTAGTCCTTTTCTTTTCATGGAATCGTTTTACTTCTTTCTCTTTTCAGTCGAATCAATTATTGTGTTTTTGTTAGATTTTGTTTCTGTTTTTTTTATTAATCTACTTATAACGTCAAGTTCAAATCACTTCTGCATCGGTGTTTTAATTGAAATTAAAATGAATCGTGATTTGAAAGTTGAAACCCTAGAACGTACATGTGAAATTTGCAATGTACTGTGTGATTATGTTGGAGCTTCATAGGAATTGGTGAGTTTTAAAGATTTAAATTGAATGCCAATTAGCATTTTCATTAGATTTATTTGTGAATTGTGCTATTGAGGAGTTAATAGGCTAGTGAATGAATTTGGAGGCGCCTGACAAGAATATGATTCATGTTCTTGACAGGGGAAATTAAGCTGTGAGAGAAACAGCCTGACTGCAATGTATTTGTAATTTCTATTAATACATCTTTGTGTAAGAGGATTTTTTTGTTTGTTTGTATTACAATGTCATGTAAACTCCAGTGTTTTACATGTTTTAGTTCCCAGTACCATGTTTCCATATGATGTATTTGCTTCTGGTTCTTGTAGCCATTTTTAAATGCTCAATTGTTAATGTTCTTGCTGAATTAGATTTTGTAAACATTATTTGGTGACATTACAGTTCAATGATTTTTTCCAATGTCTATGTAATACTCGCACTACAGTTAAGATTGTACCTGTTGTTTTTTTCCTTATATTGCATGTCGAGCCTGTGGATCTAGTACCCTTATGGAGTATCGAGTTGCAAATGAATTTGCTGTTGTGTGTTACAGCTGTGAGTGTTGCCTGCAAGAACTTGGGTCTTGATGAAGGCATGTTGGTGTGAGTGCAATCTTGGATTATTGGAGTTAATTGTTGGTTTTTTGTATTGGGGGGGGGGGGGGGGGGTTGTGCCAAATGCCATCTCTATATGTTGGGCATGATGAATAGACTTCTGCCGCTGCACTAAAGACAATATTGCATCTCAGTTTTGAAGCTATTGTCACTTGTCGGTTCGAGCAAGAATTTGAAGATAGTTACCATGGAGCTGGGTTTGATAGAGGTTTAGGGTCGTCTAATTTGAAATGCTAATTTCATTTCCAGTTTAAGAGGTATGGGGTCAAGTTTTCAAGATATTAGCTAAAGATCATACGGGAAATTGGACTAATGACAGCCTCAGCCCTTAAGTGGATTATATGGCTAGCTTTGGGTCTGCTCAGTGGTAAGGTTGATCTCTTGGCTGGAAAAACTACTGTGTTTGATGGCATCAGGATATGTTAATGGAGGACAGTTTGGTGCATCTGGTAACTTAATATAAACCTTAGGGGTGGAATCTACCAGGCCATGATAACAAATTTTGTTTGTGGGAGTGGAGCTCTATCTATCCTGACTTTTGTTGGTTTTGTTTATTTATGGAAGTGCTCAATAACGATACTGGACATCTGGTAATTTATAATAAACTTTTGGGGTGGAATCTACTTGCTTTTGGCTTGTTTTTTATTTTAGTTTTTCCTCTTGGAGGGATAATTAGGTTTCACCTTTATTGTTTTCAACTTATACATTTATTGGGGTTACTAGTAATTTTTGACAAGTGAATGGGGTATTGTGGAATATCCTTCATATGTTATATTCTATCTTCATGAGGTTTCTTGTCTGTTTCTGTATTATTTTGTGTTCAATTGGGTAGTTGAGCTGATGGACAAAGTTATTGAATATTTAAGCATTTAGCACTATAAGTGGTCGGTAACTTTTGTGTTGCTCCTTTGCGGATGGAAGAAAACCTGTTGGTTTTTACTTTCTATCCATCAAGTTATATATAGGTATAGGGAAGTGAACTCGTGTTTCAGGTGGTAGAACCTTTTCAAACAGTGTGCTGAGATTGTCCTTTCAGAAAATTTGGTGCCTATTGGCTTATGGTCTAATTTCTATTTCCTCATGGGTGGATATCTTAGGTGGTTTTGATCCTTTAATTCTGCATTGTTGCCTGGACGACTACTCTTTATTAAGGCAATTTGTATGAAGGTTTTTGGTGTAAATTGTGGTGGTTAATAATTTTTGGGTTGGACTATCATGTCTTGTGTATATGGTCATTCTATTCTCTGTGGGCCGCATTGTGGATGCTCCCCTTTGCCTCCTTTCTACGTATGCTGTATCAAATGAGGTGGCTCCAGATTTATGATCTTGGGCTTCATAGTGCAGATATTAGGTTGAAAATATATCGTTAAACATGTAAGTTTTACAAGATAGACTTTTGGTGCTTGCATCTAGGAACGCGGCCTTTTTTCTTCCTGATGCTGAGCTGCTATATTGGTTTTGATATACTGGTAAAATGCTGTGTTTGAAAGTACAAAGGTAAATAACTTTTTGAAACAAGTATTCCCTTGTGTTCTGGATTTATCATTCCGTACCCATGATGAGGAGATCTTGAACAGTGGTAACCATCCTTGCGAACTTTATTTATTGGTCATTTGAACAATTGATTGCCCATAAGTCTCTGCAGATAAGCACCTTGTCTTCCATAAATTTTCTTGTATTCAAATTAGATTCGCTTATCTATGGGAGCTGTTGGCCTTTTCTTTTCCAGGATATAGAATTCGTGCAGGTTCAAGTTCTCCAATACATCGTAGGGATGCAGATCACCGATATGGTTCCAATTTTGGTCGCTCAGGTGGTCCATCAAGAAGCCGTGATTTTAGTAATGGTAGGGATCCTGGCAGATATCGAGGCTCTTCACCTCCTTATATTCAAGGACCAAGTGGTGGCAGGCAACGTAGCAGCAGAGATGCTGATGGGACTGGATATGGCCCTAGACCTATCGGTGGTGAAGGACTGACTAGAAATAATCCTAATGTGCGACCTAGGGAAGGAGACTGGATATGTCCAGATCCTATGTAAGTATATAACCTCCATACCATGAATTTTGTTTCAAATTTCCCTCTATATACTACTTTTACGATTCTTGCTTTGCATTTTGTTGTTTTCTTAATCAGTTGACACTTTTTTTCTGTTTCTTGTCCTAAATTCAAAACTTTTCTAGATTTTTTAATTTCAGTTTATTGTTGAAATACTTTTTAAAGTTTCATCCTGCATATTACATTTTATTTTATCTCTTACCAATTACCTTGTTGTAGGTGTGGAAACTTAAACTTTGCAAGAAGAGAGTTATGCAACAATTGCAAGAGGTCTCGCTATGCACCTGTGGGAAGTCCCCATGGAGGCTACCCAGGTCCCCCGCCTTCACATGCTCCTCCCAGGCGCTTTCCTATTGATCTATCACCACCTCGCAGGAATATGAATGGTGGCTTTAGGTCTCCTCCTCGTGGTTGGGCTAGGGACGGTCCCCGAGACTTCAGAGCTGCCGGTCCACCACCACATAGGCATGAAGGTATTCTTTTCGATCATAGCATGCACAGGTACCGGCTGGATTATATAGACAACGACTACAAGGGGAGAGGTAGATTTGATAGGCCAATGCCAATGGATTGGGGACATAGAGACCATGGAAGGGATAACTTCTTCAATTCAAGGAAAGGGTACGAGAGGCGACCACCATCTCCACCTCCACTTCCTCCCCATGACAGACCACGTGATGTGAGAGAGAGAAGTATGTCACCAATCAGGGTTGCCCCTCCACCAAGAGAACTCCGTCGTGATATGTACCTGGAACGAGGAAGAAAGGATGTACGAGGAGTGGGGCGAGACCGAATGGGGGATTCATATTAAGGCAATGGTAGAATCTTTAATATCGGCTTACTTGGACATAAATTTCTCTTGTTACAGTAGCTGGTTCCAAATAAATTGGGGGATTAAAGCTTTGGTTGGGTTTAGTTTTCTTGTTGTAAACTTTTTAAGGGAACTTGGACTAAATTCTCTGTGCTTTGGTCATCATTTTATATGTGAGGGTTCGTTCTCTATTGCCACTGTTGACATGGAGGGGGGAGTAGTTACTATTGTAAGACTGTCAATGCAGTGTAAATTGATGTTTTTGTGTTTGATCTTCCAGTCATTTTTATTATTTTAGGATGATCTGTAATCCAAAACCATCAAAAGCAATAATCAGGTATATATTCTGAAGAAAGCCATAGCATTATAATGCAGCCATACATTCTATAAAGGAAATAGGTATGGAAATGCAATTCCATAAGCTCATAGTTGTTTCTGATTTATAAGCCAATTCATAAGAGAAAAAAATCAAAAGACTTGGAACTTCTTGGAATCAGTCAGCATCAGGAGATGAAAGATAATTTGAAAGAGGATAGTATATTATTATTATATTTCTAAATGACCCTGATCCGGACCGATTATCGGTCCAAGTCACAGCTTGCCTTTTAAGAGTGAAGGTTTTTGTCGATTTATGACTTGTCCCCAAATAGGCTTTTTGATCGGCAAAGCTTAGTTTTGTGCCTTTTAGAAGCATGTCCAGACCACCTCCTTGTTTAGGCTATGCTACACCAGTTCAGTTTAGTTTTGGGATTGATAACTTTGGTTGGTACACTTTTCATCATTTAATTCAAGAAATATAATATTTCGTCATTTTCGTTTTTATTTAATTAAGATATGCTTATTGAGGGTTAATTGTCGTTAGAACTTTAATAGATTGCTGATGTGACACAATTAAACATCAAAAAAAAAATATAAAATCTCTTGGACTAACACACTTGCTATAAACATCAAACTTTCTTTTCTGCGGAATAACCTGATCGTGTTCAAACTTCAACCCTATGTGAGTCCTCTTCAAGCTGCAATGGTGTTTAGATGAAGGGCTGGAGGGGTAATGTTTGTTGAAGCATTTTTGTTCTTATTCCGTTGCTGTGTTTGAAACTTACATCGCCAACCATTCAGACCTAATGCACCCACCCATTTTATCATCCTAAAGTATTTTTCTCATTTAAAACATTTTAATAAAGTTGTCACCAAATTATTGGAACAAGAAACGCAATTAAAACTTAAGCGACATGGTTAGGGTTGAAGGAACATTTGCATTAATGACCTTCAACTTGGATGGGTCACCATGCTTGTGTTTTCTGCAATCACCTTTGTTTCCGTCTCCCTTCTATACCTCTGTCCCTGAGTTTGGCCCCAACCGACTCTAATCTTACACAGATGCAGTCCTTTTCTATTTAGTTACTTTACACTGAATTTTAACTCAAACATTAGTTATCATTTCTATAATTTATTCTTATTAATTTTATAGATTTACTACATCACGTCAACAATTCGATTAAGGTTTAAGCTTAATTAAATAACAAAAAATAATAAAATATTATATTTTTTGAATTTAATAAAAAAAATACAAAACTTAAACAAAAGTGATCATTATTATAATTTACTATTCACGAATACTAAAAGCTATGATGAATATTTGACAAAGTCAAAAAAATTAGATTTTATTTTATTATTGAAATTTATTTTTAAATTAAATCAAATTATTCAAAACTCAAATTTAATTATTGTTATTTATAATATTATAACAAAAATTAACTATAATTTAAATAAATTTTTAATAATATATATATATATATATATATATATATATATATATATATACTTGTAAATAGATTTGTAAGATTATATAATAATAAAAATTTATTAAAATTACAAAATATATCTATAATATTATATTTTAAAGAGATTTTGAAGATAAAATATTGATGATAATATAAAAATTAAAAATTAATCTATATAATTATAAAAGAAATTTATTGTTTGAAATAAAAGTTAAATTGCATAAACATCATACAATGACGAAGGATTTTGTTGAAAACATTTTGATATTTCGATATAACAAATTAAGTTAAATGAATTTTAAGATTTTTCGAAATGATTTTCTAAGTATATTCGATATAACTATTCGAATATCAAAACATTACTCCAAATCTTTCAAAGATCATTTTTAATCCTTACTCAAGTGTAAAATTAAGTTTTAATCTTAAAACAATCTCAAAATAATTTTACAAAGTATTTCGAACCATTTCAAAGCCAAAAATTCCAGATTGCTCGGAGGGAACCGATTCACCCCCAAGGGGGTACTGATTCCCCCTGAATGGTTTGGCTCCGAGAATTCCAGTATGCTCGGAGGGAACCAATTCCCCCCCCAGGGGGTACCGATTCCCCTCTTGTATAACGGTCGAAATATTTGAATTTTACACTTAGGGAACCGATTCCCCATAGGGGGTACCGATTCCCCCCACGCTCCAAGCTGTTTTATTAATTGTTTTCACACTAAAACGGCTATATTATATTCTCTAATCATCCCCAACGTTCAGAAGTGATTCAAGGTGTATTTAAGCAAGCTTAGAAGCCATTGATCAATAAAAAGAAACATTAAGCAATTAGAATCAAGAGAGAATCAAAGAGAAAGCATCAAACCTCAAGTTTGAGCATTTCAAGCCTATTTTTCATTGAATATTCATTTTGCTTTCAAGAAAACTTATTGTGCTCAATTGTATTTATTCTTGAGTGTTCTTTCTTTATTCTAGAATTGTGCAAACATATTTGCCTTGTGAGATTTTTCTTGTAAGTTTGCAAATTTGTATTTCTCTTTGAGAAAAGAGTGTTCTCAAGAATTGGGGTATATTCTTGAGGGTGTTGTAAGGTTATCTCTTTGGCCTCAAAAGAAAGAACAAATTAGTGAATTTGTTGGAAAATCCTTAGTATGGATAGCTAAGGTAGTGAACGTAGACTTTGGTTGATAAAGTCGAACCACTCTAAATCGCTGTGCAATTTCTTTCAATTTTCTGCAAAAGCTTCCACCAAAATTTTTATTGCCAATTCACCCCCCTCTTGGTCGATTCCGTCAATCGATTAACTCAACAATTGGTATCAGAGCCTAACTCATTTGAAGGTTTAATCGCCTCTTGAGTCGATTCGGGAAGAGTTATATCGATAATCAAAGTCATCAATGGCCTACGCTTCAAACTTCGACTCCGGTCTCGATTCGATGCCCGTCAACAAGCCTCCTTTCTTCAATGGAGCTAACTATGCCTATTGGAAGAATAGAATGATGTACTTAATTCAAGCAAGTGACATGGGAGCATGGAATTCCGTAAAAGAAGGATACATCAAACCTCTCACTCATCCAAGGTTGTGGAGTGAAGGAGAGACAAGAATGTTCCAGCTCAACTCCAAAGCCATCCATATCATTTTTTGTGCTCTTGGACCATATGAATACGGAAGAGTTTCATCGTGTACAACCACCAAAGAAATATGGGACAAACTTCAAGTCACTCATGAAGGCACCGATGAGGTAAAGAAATATAAAATTAGTATTCTAACGCATAGCTATGAAAATTTCAGGATGAAACCAAATGAAGATATCAAAGCTATGACGGATAGATTTTCAACGATTGTCAATGGTCTCAAATCATATGGAGAGATCATTTCAAATGAAAAGCTTGTGAGGAAGTTAGTCTACTCCCTCCCAAAATCGTGGAAATCAAAGAAGACGACAATCATCGAGTCTAAGGACTTAACGTTCTTAACTCTTGAAGGGCTAATTGGGTCACTCCTCACTCATGAAATGATGCTCGAAGATGAGGTGGACCTCGACAAGATTGACGAGACACCAAAGGAGAAGGAGAAGAAGAAAAACATTGGAGTTGCTCTCAAATCCACAAAAGATGAGAGTGATTCGAATGACGATGACGATGACGAGGAAATGGCATTGTTTGCCAAACGGTTCAGAAAAATGATGAGACCTTATCGAGGAAGAAAATTCAAACGAAATGAAGGCCTCAAAAATGAACCGAAAGAGAAGGACCCAATCATTTGCTATGAATGCAAAAAGCCGGGGCATGTCAAATATGATTGCCCACAATTGAAGAAAAAGGGTCAATCAAAGAATAAGCACAAGGCTCATGTGGCTACATGGAGCGATGAAGAAAGTTTCGATGAAGAGGAACAAGAAGTAGCTAACTTGTGCTTGATGGCATTCGGGGAAGATTCTAAGGCAACATCTAACTCATCCGATTTTGATGATTTATCCTATGATGAGTTATTAGAGGAATATAATGGGTTGGCTTCGGATTATGAGAAATTATTTTTAAAATATAAAAATGATGTTTCAAAATTGAAAAATGAAAACAAACTCATATCCAAAATCAACAACGATCTTGAAAGTAAAATCAAAGATTTGCAAATCAAACTAGAAGAGTTTGAAAAGAAAAATTTAGATTTGCAAAATTTACTTTCAAAGATCAATGATGATCATCAAAAGAAAATTGATGATCTTAAAACTTCTTTTGATAAAGTTGGAACAAAACATTTTGAAAATGGTGGAAATTCAAAATCCAATTTTGTTAGAAAAAGTTTTAGAAACTACAATCATAGAGGTCCCCAAAGAACCTCTAATGGAAAAATCGTTAGAAGTATGTGGGTTCCTAAAGAACTCATTACTACTAAAGATAAAGATATCCTACACAAATGGATACCTAAGGCTAGGATTTTGGAAACTAATTAATATGGACCCAAAAGAATTTTGGTACCAAAAATCAAAAATTAATCTATGTTTGTAGGGAAAGAAGCATTGCTATAAGGCACGGGAAACAAATTCAAATTCATGGTACCTTGATAGTGGATGCTCAAGACACATGACTGGAGACAAAAGCCGGTTGCCAAAAATGAAGGAGAAGTGACTTTTGGAGACAATTCAAAAGGTCACATTGAAGGTATTGGTACAATAGGTAATAATAATCTATTGAGTATTAGTCAATTATGTGATAAAGGATTCAATGTCTTATTTGAAATTAATGGTTGTAAAGTCATTGACATTGCATCTAATCGGATTATGCTTGTTGGTCATAGAATAGGAAACATATACATGGTGCATTTAGATTCTTTTGATATGACTAATTTATGCCTAGTTGCTAAGGATGAGCATGATAGTTGGTTATGGCATAGGAGACTAGGACATGCTAGTATGAGTGTTTTGCAACGGTTAATTCAAGGAGACCTAGTAAGAGGGTTGCCTAAGCTTAAATTTGATAATGATAAAA